TCAGATGGTACTCATGTAAAATGTTTCAAATCTTATTAACTTCTGTGAAAATGTACATATGTCCCTTGGCCACCACTAATTTATTCTTGGACAGAAGACAGAATATTCATGAATCTAAACTAATGTAAGTAATTGGTAAGAAAAGTAAATTGGGGTGAACAGATAAATCTCCAATGCTCAAGAAGTCCACATAATTATGTAGTATGCCTCCCCCCTCAAGAATATGGGAGTTTAATTCCTTGTTCCTTGAGTATGGGCTGTGCTTTGTGACTTTTATTCCAAAGAGCAGAGTACATACAAACTTTGGAGAAAATGAAGTTGGAGGAACTGAGTATGACAGAGAAACCTGAAAATGATGTTGGCCAGGTGGTCAACATTAATATTGGAAGGTCATGTTTAGAACATCTACTCTTGATGTGATATGGCCTCATTGGAAAGTGATTTCACACTTACCATCTTTGCTTTGTTTTTTGAGACAGGGTCTCTCTATGCAGCCTTGGCTGGCCTGGTATTCACACAGGTTTTCCTGCTTATTCCTCCAGAGTACTGGCAGTAAAGTGGCATGTGCCACTATACCCCACCATACAAATCAGTGTTCTATTGCTGTGAAAAGGTGCCATGACCTCAGCAACTAGCATAAAAAAAACAAAAACAAAAACAAAACAACAACAAAAAACCCAAACATTTACTTGGGGTTTAATCACAGCTTCAGAGGTTTAGTCCATTAAGGTCATGGCAGGGAGCATGGAGGCACACAGACAGACATTTTGCTGGAGAAGTTCAGAGTTCACTCTCAGGATTCGCAGGCAGAGGAAGAAAACAGTCTCAGGGCCTGGTTTAGGCTTTGCAAACTTCAAAGCCCAACCCTAACAACATACTTTTTTCAGCAAGTCTACACTTATCCAGCCAGGCCAAGGTCCTAATCCTTTCAAATAGTACCACTCCCTAAGAGTTCAAACATATGAGCCTATGGCAGCCATTCTTATTCAAACCACCACCAATCATCCATTAGACCTGACCAGTAGTTCTCAAAACTGTCAATGTACACACCCCTACAAAACAATCTGAAACTGCTGAGGAGCATAAAGAGAGAATGAGTGGATGATAAATTGTACTTGAAAGCATGGCAGGAGAGATACCAGAAGACAGCTATGCGATCTGAACAGTTGGAACAGTGTGTTCAATACTGTATTGTAGGTTCCTTAATTGTGACAAATGTCAACTTGTGAAGAACTCTCTACTTTGTAACTTTTTCTTTGTTTTTTAAAAATTTATTTTTTTATTCACTTTATTCAATCATAGCCTCCTTCCTCCTCTCCTCCCAGCCCCCCACCCTTCCTTCCCTCTTCCCTGTATGCCCCCCCCAAAAGGAAGCCCCCCAACCCACCTATCCATCCCAGCACATCAAGTCTGAGCACATCCTCTACCACAGTGGCCTGGCCAGGAGGCCCTGCCAGGGGGAAGTGATCGAAAAGCATACAAGAGAGTCCTTGTCAGAGAGAGGTCCCCATCCCCTTGCTTTAAAGAAAAAGGTATTTACATTTAAAAGATTAACATTCTGCTATGCTGACGTAGCAGAGTTTCTATGTATCAATCAATACATCTTTTTTTTTTCTTCCTGCTCACACATATCATCCGCCAAGCCATATGGCACGAGTAACTTTTCTTGAAACATAAGAATATTCCATCTTTAAAGCCAAATGGAGTCAGTCCTATTTTTGGAGTCTTAGATTTCTCAGGAATAGTTGGGTCATGCCCTCAGTAATGTGTCACAAATGCTCAAAAGATAACACCCAAGAACCCAAAGTTCTCAGTGGCATGGAAAGATATGACAGCCTTCAGCTTCCTATCCAATACGAGTACATTGCATGTGGCTGTTGATCAAGACATGAGTGATACCGTGGGACATTAATCTCTGAAAGTAACATTTTGTGTGAGAAACCCACAGAGGCATTTACTCGCTGAACAGCTGTTCTCAGGAGGCGAAGGGCAAGACTGATGAGGCACTATTCTACAGTGGGAATGGGATTATTTCTCTGATATGCCTCACCTATCCATTAGGATTATAAAAAAAAATAATATTCCTGGAAAAACACAGAAATTTCTTTCATAATGTTTTCAGTTATTTTATTTGAGGGAGGATAAAAAGTTGGTATCAATGATTTTTACCTAAAAATAACCTACTGTAAGGTTCCTAGAATTGTTAGTAAGAATTGTGTTTTTTTGTTAACATCTAACCGCACAATTTGAAAAGTCAAGCTAATGATATAATTAACTAAGTAAAAAATTGGCTGGGATTACATCTCTACTTTTAAAGAAAAGAGTGCAAATATCATTAAAAAAAGTTGGAAAAATATGTCGCTTCCTAAATATATTAGGATTTTGTTGAGTGTTGGGCTACATAATGTTTATTATTAGCCCTATGATTATTGCAGCAGTATTATTTAACCCACTATCACAAATAGTAAGACACCTGTTAGATTTTATAATTGCCTTATTTACCTTGGGCTGGGCAGACATCTCACCTACGCTGGTCTCAATAACCTCGCCATCCACCTCCGAGCCCCCATCCAATGCCACCCACCTTAAGCATCCTCATCTGGTCTACCTTCCATCCATAACCCCAATATACTTGCGTGTATTCTTCATCTGGGCCTTTTAATGCCATTATTGGAGTCCTTCCTCTGAGTTCACGTGGTTCCTTCTTCACCTAACCTAATCATGGCATCCTCCTGTCTCCTCTCTTCCTGTCCATCTGTCTCTCGTGATTCTCCTGTCCTCCAAAGCCTGGGAACCTTAGGCATGCCTACCCCACTCTGCCCTGCCCAGGATTAGGCCATTTAATCAACCAATCAGATGTGTCTTAGGCAAGTTTACACCACAAGGATAGGTATATCCAAGGAGTAACCAGATCTTGAGGGCCAGCATCAGAACAACTCCCAACAGGGTTTAAAACCAAGATTCAGTGGAGTCACATATTCTACACTTATAGTGATTTCAAGCACAAGGAGAAGATCATGCTCTTTGACAGTAAGTGTTTGCCATGGAGTTTTAGCAAATGGAAGAGACTGCTAACATTACCGAGGGGAGTGGGTCTAAAAATCAATGTGGGTAGATTGTTGCTATCATGCTCTTTTAAAATGTGTCCACCTTACCCTTGTTCATTCAAATGCTGATTTCTCCCCTCCAACTCTCTGGTTTCAATCCTAAGCATCCTGTCTCAACTTGGTGTAAACTTCCAAATAAAGCAACTAGACACAATGTTGAGCTGGGAGGAGCCAGAGGACAGGAAATGAGTGGGAGGAGCTAGAGGGCAGGAAATGAGTGGGAGGAGAAAAGGCAGGAGGAGAGCTTGGAGAGCTAGAGAACAGATCTTGGAGGACGTGGAACATGAACCAGACCTAAGATATTACTAACAGCAAGTATAATGTAGGAAATCTAAATGTTAGGAAACTTTGAGGGCTTGGAGGTTTAGGATGGAGTAGCTATTGCCCAGCATTGTGTTCTAGGTTAACTAAATAAACCCAGTGTCTGTGTGGTGATTTGGTTATACAGCTGCTTAGGACTAACAGCAGCATTACCAGAAGATAAATCAATAGTAAATATTAATCCCATTTACAACAGTAGATCATTTTAATTTTAGTCAAAAATAGTTTATATAATATGTATTTCACATCATGTTAGAATAATGTGTGTGTGTGTGTGTGTGTGTGTGTGTGTGTGTAAATAATGAGAACAATCCCTTAAACAGAATCAATGACATATCAACATTAGGTTACTGGGCATTTAACAATTACCTCTTACTACTCAACATAAGTCTGCAAGGTATAAAAAAATTGGTATTTAACAAGCAAAAGAACAGAGGATATAAGAAACCAGGAATAGATTCAAAGTCCTTCAGCTTAAACAAGAGTCATTCTTGACTCTCTGGCTGCCTCCAATGCTTCAACTCTTTCTTGCATATGTTCTAGCTTTGTTTTAATTTATTTATATATTTGTCAATTTTTTATAATTAAATTTATTTATTTTTATTAATTACAGTTTATTCACTTTGTATCCCCCCATAAAGTCCTCCCTTCTCCCCTCCCGGTCCCATCCTCCCTCCCCCTTCTTCATGCATGCCCCTCCCCAAGTCCACTGATAGGGGAGGTCCTCCTCTCCTTCCTTCTGATCTTAGTCTATCACATCACATCAGGAATATTTGTCAATTTTTGAGATTATAATTTAATTACAACATTTCTCTTCAAGCCCATTCATATAGCCCTTCCAACTCTCCTTAAAATTCATGGCCTTAAAAAAAACTAGTTGTTACTGCATGCACACATGTATATGAATACATATTTCTAAATATAACCTATTTAGTCCATATAATGTTACTTGCACGTATGTTCTAAGGGCTGACTATTTGGTACTGGACAACTGAGTGATGTGCTCTTTCCTAGGGAGGACCCCTCTCCTGCTCCCAGCTTTCCTCAGTTGCCTAAGATTCATGGGCATTTCTCTATCCAGTGTGGCATGTTTATTGGTGTCATACTTCTTCAGCTCACATTTGAGCAGTCACTACTATTCAAGTAAGTACTTTCTACTAACTAGATGTTTTAAGTCATCTAAATTTCTAGGCTCAGTTTTCTCTTGATAAAATGGAGTTGGTTGGTTGATTTATAATCTTTGCTTCTGTTCTAAAATAGCTGTGATTCATATATAGAAAAACAAACTGCAATTCACAATGTATTTGTTAAAATCAGGTCATTAACACTGCTTTTTACTAAATTTTCTGATAATGGAGATCTGTGTAGATATTCATCCATTTCTCTCAAATCCTTTCAATCTAATTTATTAGCCAGGACTAGTAAGCTTGCCATTTTTAATGTTCCTACAGTTTACACATAAGAGAAGATGTGATGCTTTCTACACAAACAATATACTTAATGCTTTGTCCTCTACGGAATCTACAAATTGCATTTAGATATCCTTAATGCAATGAAAGTCATTTTGCGGATCTAAACAAAATCAAAACATTTATTTCAATTCACATTGTTAAAATACAACTTTAGACAAACAGCACTTATCAGCTCACTTATAACATAGTATAGACATAAATATACATGAAATGTATAATTATATAGATTTTCACATATTTTACACAAAAGAACAACCTCTTCACATTCAGTTTTGAAAATACATTAACATGGATAGTTGAAATGGATGTACCATCACAAAACGTGCTACAAAATGTTCACATTTGTGTCACTAAGGCATATTTCCTACATAGATGTTTTATGAAAACTCTGTAAAGACCTAGTTTAATCATTAAATGAAGTACATTATCAGTACAAATGTTCCTTTAAGTTTAAACAACACAGTACTTTTTAACAAGACCACACTACAATTATTAAACGAACATGCAAAGTATATTAAAATTAGAATAATTCCTATACTTTCTGCACAATGTTTAGTTTTTCTTCTGATACTCTTTGTAAAAAAATATACTTAAAGCTTTGGCACAGAATAAATTATAACCAATCAAAAGAATTGACTTAAAATTTTCATGGCATAGAAACTCCCTTATTACTATTTACCAAGTTCCTTTGTAGTTTATTAACCAATGGCAGTCCTGCTTAGTTTTATTTAGAATAAATAATGAATATTCCAGAACTGAAAGTCTTACTTGGTGTCTGTCTGCAACTAATTGGAAAGTAGAGAACCTGAGTGTGTTTATCAGTAAAACACTGCCATCTGTACTGTGGCCAACAGATTTCTAAACAGGTCTTATCAGCAGTGATATGTATCATCATGAGACGTTTTCAGTAGGAAGCAGAGGAGGTAAAAGGAAATGCAGAGCTCATAAACGGGAAATATGTGGTAAGGACAACAAACCAACTGAGGAAGAAGTGTGGATAGTTCTTTTAAGTTGGTTCAACCCCACCCAGAAGGGATGAGAAAAGAATGAAGAAGGAACACAGCAATCCTTCGGGAGGTTGGAGAGCGCCACATAGGTCAAAGAAAACCAAAGTGTTCCCTTATTCTTGAATCAGCAAAGACTCACTGGAGAAGTTTCAAATTTCCCTATCTGTTTGTCTAAATTGACACTGAAAAAAATTAAGCTAAGTGGAAGCTTTCTTGTGACCTCACTCATGAAGACTGGTAGTAAGTCAGGGAGTAACATGACAACCTCCACTGAGCGCAGATGACCTTCACACTCACTCTAGCCTCAGAGTGTGGAGGCTTGGTAAAGCCTTGTTTCTTTTTCAGTGTTGTGTCTTCAGGGACACCAAAAACACCCCGCACCTCTCAATATAATCTCAAACTTCATTTTTCTCTCTGTCACGTGGGAAAACACAAGTAGTCGGAATTTATTTTTTTTCCCAAAGCCAGTTCCATTCATTAAGTTGTTGACTTCAATTTTTATATAAATTTAAATTATTCTGCAGAATAAAACCACAAACATGATGCTATTTTATTTATTTTGTGATCCTTGCTTGTATCAAGGCCTTCAAGAGTGAAATGACAAAGAACATCAAACAGTTTTAATAAAATAGACAAACTTTTTTTTTCTTTAAAGCTGTAAAGGTATGCGCAGACCAAAAGGCTACGAGTCGCAGAGTACTGAATTTTCAAGTGTGAAATCATACCAGAACCGGGACAAGTTGTCGCCAGCGTCGTAGGAGAGTAAGTGTTCAGGAAGGTCACTGACGGTGCCCTGCACTGCCAGCACGTGTGGCGCCAAGGTGAAGGGCACGTCACTTAGAAGCTCAGCTGCTAGTGAGTTCTTCTCCAGAGGCTGGCCCACCTCATTTCCTGTCTCAGGGCCTGATACAGTCACACTGGATGTGTCTTCTTTGCTGGTCTAAAAATACATATACATTTACAACATTTAGAGCATATGAACTGTGAGGTTTAGTAATGGTAAATGTGGCATCAGTACATCAAAAAGCCTGGTAGACGTATAATATATAGAGAGACTGCCAGATCCAAACACAAGTATTTACCCATGTGAAAGATATGGCCATCCAAATCATTACAAGATTTAAAATTCCTAAAGCCTGTCCTTACTCAGAGTGGCCACCCATTGCTCCCTTAAACCAAAATTCATTCTTGGTAGCTCCTTAACCCAGAGGTGTCTCCAGAGCCTGTCTGCTTTCACAAATCCCATGGATGCTTTCACGCTCTGCTCAGTGCTCAGCTTCCCCCAGAAATGTTCTATCATAGCTGTCCACATCGGGACACCTACAATGCAAACTGCCGAAAGTATTATTAGGTGTTCTGATGTGTGTTCTTACTAGTTGCTACTCTATGTGCATTCTACCTTCAAGCAGATGCTAGGATCCTCAAGTCAAGTGATCTATGCTTTTGCAGATCATACCTGGCACACTGTACTGTTTTGTAGTGATACACTTGAGGTTTACCTTTAGTGTGTACCAAGAGTATGGGCTGGAACCAACATGGCATAGCAAAAAGTTTCAAATAAATACTGATGTACCTTGGTTTCTTTTAATTGTCATACATTACACACACTAGTTTATCAAAAAGCATGGACTAATTGGATGTTCAGAGCACCATCTATCTGTCTATCTATGTATCTATCTATCCATCCATTAATAGTATAGTGTACAAAAATAAATATCTATATAGCAATGAAGATGAATGGTTTGCTACTCCAAGCGGCTGAAATGTCATGTAAATAATTTCAGAAACAGTCTTTTTCTTACCCTTCAGCCTCATGCAGACTGACTCTGACTTTCACAGAGACCTACCGGGCCTCTCTTGAACAGGCCTTTACCTGCCATCCCCCACTAGCCTCCCCTGGCCAACTCTTCTCCGATTCTATTCCCTGACTCCTGTCACCTACTCCCAGGCTGTTTCACTCAGAGCCTGTTGTTTCTGTTCCTTCTGCCCAGGAGGCTTTTATTTTAGATCAACACTGAGCTCTGAGCCTGTCTTCCTTTTGGGTCTTGACTCATCTGTCACCTTCAGAGAGAGGCCTCTCCTCACCTCTTATTTAATTTAAGCTGTATGCTACCCTCTCACCTCTGTTCTGTATTCCTGTCTCTCCCACTTCTGCTTCTGTCTCTAGCCCTTAGTGTGTTGCCATATGCTTTGTGACTCATTCTAGTTATCATCTCTCAGAAGCAGGTTTTATCTCTAGTGCTTACTGCTATATCGCAAAAGCCTTCATTGATACCTTGTGCTCAAAAAAAAAATGTTTATTGCACAAATGAAAGCAGAGACACAGCTTAGCTTCTAATGGTGACAAATGCTGACAGATTCCTTATCTAAGGAAAAGAACTTTATATAAGAGAAACAGCATTTCTGCCAGACCTTTTGTTGAAGTATACTATACATACAAGAAAGGATGCACTCATTGTCAATGTAGAAATTGCTAAATTCTTACAAACAGAATGTACAAGCATAGCCAGCACTATGATCAAGATACAGCTCACATAGGATTCTTTTCTAGTCACAATCTTCTCTTCCCTCAGACACCATACTGATTTCTATTAGTATGGAATGGTTTGATCTGTGTTTGAATTTTCAATGAATGCCACTGCTCAGGGTGGAAGCTTTAGCTTTGGCTTCTTTCAGTTAGTATTATGAGTATATGATGCATCTATACTGTAACATGTGGATGAAAACATTTTGAGGAATGTTTTAGTGTAGAGTATGTGTACTAATAGATATCATGTTGACTAAGGTTTTAACAGCAAAGGGGAGAAGAAATGGCTGAATTCTGGATAGAGTTTGCATGTAAATTCAACAAGCTTTGCTAATGAAATGGAGGCTGTGAACAAGAATAATCAAGATGAACAATAATCAATAATGAACAAGAATAAATCAAAGTTCTTGGCCTGACAATGAGAAGGCTGGAGTCAGCCAAATTGTGGCGTAGAGACATGCAGTGAACAGGGTTGGTGGTGGAGGCTTGAGACCCCTGAAAGACATCCAGTAGAGCTTTCAGCAGGAGACATATGATTTGAGTATGCAGCCACGTGAGATCTGCTGGTCAAAGTCGGGGAGAAAGGGTGTTTTTTTCCTAGGTGCTACGCTGAAGATGCTGAGATGAGGTGGATTTTGGAAAGGTGCATTGTGTCAAGTGAAGCTTTCTTTCACTTTTGTTTTCATTTTAAGTTGGGAGAAATAGTTCTAAGATGATGAGAAGGAAAAGGTTAAAAAAATTCATTGATGGTCAATAGAAAAGGAAGTATTCTCTTCCCAAGGTATCCACAACAGTCTAGAAAAGGGCCCTTAAGAAACACCAGTCTAGGGAATGACCTGGAATCAACAGAGCTTGCCAGACAGGCCTATTAATAGTGGTCTTATAATTTCATTAGATTTTAAAATTACATTGTATGTGCTTGGTACTATTCTGTTTACTCATAAACATGACCCCATAAACTCATCTTTATTTAATCTACATACTAATTTTATAAAATAGGTACACAACACCAAAGAACTTTCTTAGGTCTGCAATGAAAACCACTATACTACTCCTTACTATGAGAAAGCTTACTATAAAGATACAAGTTATGTGGGACACAGATCCTGACTCCTTGATTCTAGCTGGTCTTCATAATGCCAAGTATCCTAGGGCCTGCCCAATGCATACAGAGAAGTAAAGAATTACAGCCATTCCAGACAGGAAAAGGGCTTCACTATGTGCTGGCTTCAGTGGAAAACCTGAAAAGGAAGTAACATTGTATACACCATGTTGAGGATTACTTATGTAACTCTCAAGATTACATATGTTCCAGGCCTTAGGTTACCTGAAATCAAGATGGTAGAGGAACCATGAACACAAGTTCCAGATGAGGCTGTTGGCATAGAAAGCCCAAAATAATAAGCAAATATTCTTGGGCTATCTAATTTCTCTGTTTCTTTAGCTGGGTTGTCAGCCCAAAAAACAGGCCCTTTCAGCAGGGCCTAGTGGTGCACAACTTTAAACCCAGCACTCAGGGAGACAGAGGCAGGTGAATTGATGTGAGTTTGAGGCCAGCTTGGTCTACAAAGTGAGTCCAAGTCAGCCAAGGTTACACAGAGAAACCCTGTCTTGAAAAAAACCAACCAACCAACCAACCAACCAACTGAACAACCAAGCAAAAAAAACCCAAAACAAAACAAAAAAATAGGCCCTTTCCTATTTTTATTTTGCCTTTGCTTCTCAATCTCAGTAGCAAATCCTTCCTAAATTAGCTTATTTTATACTCTAGCCTCTCTCCCTCTCTTCTTCATTGCTTCCTCTGTTTTTGATACAGGGTCTCTCTACAAAGCTCTGGCTATCCTGTAACTACGTAGACCAGGCTGTCCTCTAACTCAGTGAGATCCACCTGCCTCTCCCTCCCAAGTGCTGGGATTAAAGGTATGTTCCACCACACCTGGCAAACCTTGTTTTTGCTGTGTACAGAACACTTGTTTAATTAATTAACTTGCCCCTTTCTTAAGAGTATCCTTGAACTCTCACCTTTTCCACTAAGAGGGTGGTGTATAACCTATTAACACTCTCCTTTGTAAACATACAACTTTGAAGGCATAACTCTCTAGCAGCAGTATTTATTTCCCTGTTTGTGCTTTTACCAATCCTCTTGCATTCTCTTTAAAAATCATTCTTATCTGGCAAATACTCTTTCCAAGAGGGCAAGGATATACCAAACCACATCTGGTACTACAAAGGACTTGGGCTATGTGACATTTTGCTCAAGTTCTGATAAAGCAGGCGTCTGGGCCTCCAGTCTGTAAAATGAATGATAAGAGACAAAATGATTGATAATGGTGGTGATGAAGAAGAGAGCACCCATCATGCAATGAAGACACACTTGGTGCCAGGCTCTCCCTAGGCTGCTCTGCAGATGTTCACTCGTTGACGTCTACAGGGCTTGTGCCATGTGAAAGGTAAGAGGACAGTGAGGCAGGACACTTAAGGAAGATGTCTCACTACACACAGATTGTGCGATGAAACAGGGAATTAAACCAACGATCTGTTCTGTGAACCTACACATTTCAGACGTGCTCTGCAAAGACACTACATGAACTGAGCTGTGACAGTTTGAGGTAATACCGGAAAAGACAATAATCACTAAACAGCATATCTTGGCCTAAGCTGGAAGGAAAAAAAAAGATTCTGCCTTATTTAACTGTTAGAAAAAAAGGATGGGGAAAACACCCTGTGGACGACTGAAAAGAAGATGGAAAAGCAACTGTAATTTAAGTAAATTCACCCCATGGGAACAAGTCTACCATCAGTCTGGATAAACCATGGGAAAAACCACGGACACTGAAAGACCCCCAAGCTGATGACAGCTGAGGCAGATAGGAAGGCATGTGGAAATTCTGTGCCACAGTGTTCCTTCTGTCTCTGCACAAGTCTGAACATTTTCCTAAATCAAAGTTTTGAAAGTTTTATTTAGTTAAAAAAAATATCACTAACAGTAATCTACCAAATGCCTCCTAGAAGGATCTGAATTTCAGCTGTGCTGGATGTATGACTCCAGCTTCCATCTCTTAACAGTTGGCTTAGTGCAACGTTACAGTCTCCAAGGAGGCTGCCTGCCCTCTTGGCAGCAGGGTGAGTGCCATGATGCAGCTGCTGTTGGCATGCTGAGAGCTAGAAGGAGAGAAATTATAAGGCAAAACAAGTGCAAGTCGCAAAGAAAATGTGAGTCAAAATTCAAGAGCCCTATACCAGCTAAACCAGCTCACTAAGCCTCTAGCTTGGCAGCTCATGAAGGTGGAGGTGGGGGCTGAGGGCTGGAACAGGTGCACCAGTTCTCTGCAGAGAGCAGCCCTCACTCAGACACGAGTCTTGTGATTTCTTTACATTTGCATAATGAAATGGATCTTTACTGGCAAGAATTA